TTTACATGAAAAACTAGCGCTCCGCACGACGTACGTCAGCGGGGCAGAGCGCTGACGGAGTATGTGGGATTTCGGGGTTAGAGTGGACCAAAACGAAGCCTTGTTTTGGCTTAGAAAACATGCAAATTGAACCTGATGAATGGGTCCCCCCCTTAGGAATTGGGGTCATTTGGTTTCTTTGTTAGCCTGTAATATCCGATACCTTTTATAAACTCATAACATGACTCTATAAATAATAACACAATATGCCAGCTCTTTATTAGGTGCATCCGTTCATTCAAGATGAACTTTGAAACAAATTTCCATAAACGGAGGATGATGACCGCGTGTTTTTCACTCGTCAGCTGAATGCAGGAAGCTAAAGCAGTAAATCCCTCAGATTGACCAAAACTGAACAACAACTTTACACACAAAACGCTGCCTGGTGTGACAAGTCTCAGTTTCACGTTCCACATTCCAGTGTTATGCTAAAGATAAAGTCATGGCTCCAACTGGTTTCCAAAGAAGACAATGAATTAATTATACATCATTGGCCTCCACAGTCACCAGATTTTAATCGAGTTGAGCACATTTGTCATGGAATGGAAGCGTTGCAGCAAGAATTAGCAGGAACTGAGATGTGGACTGAAACCACTGAGAATTGTTTCAGATGGGTTCCTGAATCTGAATCTTGCTTATAGGCTTTTACCACAGAGAATTGAGGTAGTTCTCAAATTGAAAGTAAATACTGTACTGAACCAAGTGGCAGGTGAATGTTTGGGAGTTTTGTGTCCTGATTATATCTGTGGTCACTATTCAGGCCACTGTGTGATGAGAAAATGGCTCCTGCTGAATGACCCAGATGACTGCAGCTCTGGGGCTAAAGGCTACATCAAAGTCAGCATCTTTGTTGTAGGAACAGGAGACGAGCCTCCAGTAAGTTCCTCCAGACTATAACTTCCTTCATTTAAATATCGACTCTTCTCTCTTGTTTTCCATTTATGAGTCTGTATATGCTGACATCTGTAGGTGGAGAAAAGAGACTCTAATGATGACCAGGATGACATAGAGAGCAATCTGCTGCTGCCAGCAGGAGTAACTCTGCGATGGGCCACCCTGTTATTAAAGGTGTTCAGGGCTGAAGACATTCCCCAGAGTGAGATGAGTTTCCGATATGATTATGATTTTCCACAATAAAACATGACAAAATAATAAATGTTCTCTTTTTAGTGGATGATGCATTTGTCCAGACATTGAAAGGGATCTTTGGAGGAGAGGAAAACAAGAAGAACCTGGTGGATCCTTTTCTAGAGGCTCGGTTTGCTGGAAAAAAGGTTTAAATTAAATTCTTTCTTCTTATTTATACCCACCCCATAAAGGTGCCTGAATGTTTAAAATGGGAGCTGCAGAGGAAAAGCTAATGATGTATTTCTCTGTGTTTCTAGTTGTGCACTCAGATCATTGAGAAGAATGCAAACCCAGAGTGGAACCAGGTTTTGAACCTTCAAGTCAAAGTAAGTCCTGAGGCCGTAAAGATGCAGAGAAAAGTTGAATAGAAATGATTGTTTTGTCTTCTTCGCTATAGTTCCCTTCCATGTGTGAGCGTATCAAGCTGACCGTGTTTGACTGGTAAGTGGACGTTTTCTTAAAACGGGAATTAGGAATTTTGGGCTGCAGCTGTTTGTTGTTCTAAATCAAGTCAGGAAAATGTGCCTCCATGTTTCAGTGCTGTGCTCAGCTACGTTCTCGGTCTGTGTGTGTGTGCATGGCCGACATCTCCTTTATAATAGTGCTGGGCAGTGACTCAGACTGTGGTGGCCCTTCCCTTTCCCTCAACAACATGTTCTGTTGGCTGCGCTGACCTCATTTTCAAGTTTCTGAGAGAACCTGCACTCATTTCAACTTCAGGAAGGCCAGAGGGAAATGAGCGTATGAGGGAAATGGCAAAAAAAAAAAAAACATGCCAAAAGTGTTAATAGATCTACATACCTGTGCAATTTTATATCATGCAGAAATCTTTCAGTTTCAATGCAACAAAAAATACTTTTTATTTTTATGCAACAATTTCAGTTAGCTATTTTTTTTTACACAGTATCCCTGCATGTGTGTCAATAAAATAATTTGTTTGGCTACAGGGATCGTCTGACGGGAAATGATGCTGTTGGCACCACATACCTGAACCTGACCCAGATAGCTTCCTCTGGTGGAGAAGTAGAAGGTATGAGTTTTATATTTTAATTAAATGTAATTAAAGTACAAAACAGTTGATCAAATGTTTATAAAATATGCAGTATTACTTTAAAATGTCCTTTTTTCCCCTTTTGGAATAGAAGAACATGCAGAAAATGGGGAAATGCCATCCTCTAAAGGTTCACCTGTGCTTTTTTTCTGTTGCATGTAATGATATGCAATGAGCATGCTAACAATCATAATTAGCCATGGGCTTGTTTGAAATACTCTCTAAATTAGCCTTTTACTGTAGAAAAAAAGTTTAGCATTATTTAATTGCTTTTATTTAAAATCAGTAAACAACATTTGACACTTCTTTTTATAATATACATGTTAATTATCATATAATGGATAAAAAGATTGAATATAAAAACATTTGTGTTCTCTTTAGAATAACATTCAGCATCTCAGGCATACAGTACTCATTTAGCTGGTCCGAAGGCAGACAGCCATGGAGCTGTTGGATTGCACCTGTGCCTTCAAAATGACTTTAATATTAATTGAACTTTATTAATCTCCCATTGGAGATGTGTACCTCTGCATTTAACCCATCCCCTTGGGGAGCAGTGGGCTGCCATCACGGAGCCAATGAGTCTGTGGGAGTGGGGTTCGAACACAGAACCTCAGGATTCCCAGCTCTATGCCCTAACCACTAGGCCGCCACTCCACCCCCTACTAGCTCAACAGTGATGCATGATTCCCGTTGTTTCTCAGCTTGACTGTTTGTGGGTTTTTTTCTTTTTTTTTCTAACACTTTTTTTCAACATTCACAGAAATATGCCTTTGAGTGATTGTTTTAAACATAGGAAAAGCATGTTTAAAAAACTTAAGACTTGCAAAACTCACATTTTTCAAACTTTGTTACATCTCCATACCAGCCCATGTCTAATTGTGATTAAGTCCAGTTTGTGCAAAGTGCTAATACGCCCGTGCTCTGCTCTGTTTTGACCTCATCAATAAGATTTAAGTGTTGACCTCACACCACGCTGTCCTTTTTAGTTAGTGCTGCCTGCTTTTCCAGCGCCACATTGTGACCTACTAACATTTAGAGCTTTGCTCAAGGTAGTTCAAACAGAGATGAACTCTACTCTCATCTTTCCAGCTGACTCTGGAGAATCAGAGGTGGGCTTCCTTCCTGTATTTGGGCCCTGCTACGTCAACCTCTACGGCAGTCCCAGGGAATTCACGGGCCTCCCAGACCCCTATGAGGCTCTTAATTTTGGCGAGGTAGTGGAGCACTTTTATTTGACCTTTTCCTTTATCAGGATGTAATCTTGCTGCATTCTGCCTAATGATTTCTGTTTACCACAGGGTGAAGGAGTGGCTTACAGGGGCAGAGTACTAGTGGAGCTCTCCACTAAGCTGGAGGGGAAAGCGGATAAAACTGTTGATGGTATCCACAGCGATGACATCCTTGTGGTGCAGGTACTGTGCCTGTTTACCAGCTCAGTATTTCGAATTCTAAATTGCTGATTGCTCATTGATGGGTTAAAGGAGAATTCTGGTTTTTAACACTTTTAGCCCATTTTCTGTAGTGTCCAGGATGAAATCGAATGATCGACACCAAAATTTTGACAATTGGTCCTGTCTCTGCTATTTGGCTCATGCAGAATCCCCCCCTGGCTGCTTCAGAATGGCTTCCATTGTGCATGTCCGATAATGTCCTTAAAACAACCTTAAACGTTCTTTTTTTAAAATATGCTACTCACCGGGTCGTCAGCGCTGTTCAATGACGTTCCAAAAAAAGTTTCGTGAAGAAAAACCGTTCCTGTCTTGTTTTATTTAGCATTTTGTAAATCCCAGAACTATTTTTTCCGATACATCACAACCGCTTATAAACTTCCGCTTCCCGTTCGAATCTGAAGCGTTGCACACTCCAGACCACTAGTTGGCGACAATGTCTCTATATACTCCTCCTCAGTATATTCCGGTTCAAAACGGTATCCTCTACCGTCAAACTCAAAGTCCAATATGTCCTCCTCAAGAATCCACCTTTCGTATTCCATTTTCAGAGTTTTTTAAAGTGTTTAACGGAGATGTTAGCACCTCGACGTCGGAGTACACAGAGTGAAGCGAAAAGACTACAACTGTGTAAACAGGCCCCATTTCCGTTTCCGGTGGCAGGGGAATATTGACTATTCCAACAGAACTTAATGGGATTTACAAAATGCTAAATAAAACACTACAGGAACGTTTTTTCTTTACGAAACTTTTTTTGGAACGTCATTGAACAGCGCTGATGACCCGGTGAGTAGCATATTTAAAAAAAAGAATGTTTAAGGTTGTTTTAAGGACATTATCGGACATGCACTATGGAAGCCATTCTGAAGCAGCCAGGGGGGGATTCTGCATGAGCCAAAAAGCAGAGACGGGACCAATTGTCAAAATTTTGGTGTCGATCATTCGATTTCATCCTGGACACTACAGAAAATGGGCTTAAAGTGTTAAAAACCGGAATTCTCCTTTAATTGATGGGAAATATTTCTGTCCGTTCTTTCGACTGTGACTGCTTACCAATTGGTTAGGAGCAAAGAGGCATGCCTGATGTTTGCAATTAACACAACTACTAAATAAGTCCCAACCATGCCAACAGAGCTCTAATGTGTTGTTCAAAACAGACAGCTTGAAGGATAGAGGAAAAAGAATTGCTAACCCTGTTAGCACTATTAGCAAGGACATGCGCTCATATGTCTGTAAACTTTATAGTAATATCAGAATTCTTAAGTTTTTGCTCCGGCTTTAGTTTAATCCATCGCCTCCATCTGCTTGTTGACTACGCCTCGTGATGTAATTATGGTCACATGAAGTTGTTATGGTTAAAATGTTTACACAGAAATTCTATATTAACTAACAAATTAAGAAAAGACAAAAAATAACAAATACTTCGCCAACAACATTATTTGTTGTAAGAATGTTGTATGCAACCAGGAATATAAATAAAAAAAAAGGAAAATAACTGATAAACGTTTTAAGCAGAACTGCGCTTTCTCTAGTAACCTAAAGCTGTGCATAAATCATGTGGAGCAGTGGTGGCTGCTGGAGTTTTCTGTATACCCAAATCAAATCAAAAACTAAGTTATCACACCAGTATATTCACTTGAATGCCAACAACAAAAAAACATTATAAAAGTGCTTTAAGTCACTCATAACTGTCTTAATCCATGCTGGGTCGGATCCTGACATTTGAAAAGGATCCTGACATTTCTCCAGAGTGTGATTAATTAAGTGCTTTTTTGTTCTAGTAAGACAGATGGTAATGGTGCATTTATTGACTAAAGAAAATCATTGGATTCATGAGTTTCAAACTAGCAAATGAACAGGATATTTGTCCTACTCTCGTTACCATCCAAATGTTTCCCATGGTTAGAACAAACCTTTATCTTACAACTCATACTTGATGTAACAAAGTGAATATTATGTTTCTTTTTTCACCATTTAGAAGTACCAGAGGAGAAGAAAATACTGTCTGTGCGCCGTCTTCCACAGCGCCACTATGATTCAGGAGCCCGGTGAACCCATCCAGTTTGAGGTCAGCATTGGTAACTATGGCAACAAACTGGACACCACTTGTAAACCCCTGGCCTCCACCACTCAGTACAGCTGTGCTGTGTTTGATGGCAAGTGATCAATTCTTTCTTGGATACGAGCTTCTAGTGCTACTGGAAATGTAAAGCTCTTCAAACAACATGCTTCAAGGCTTCATTTGACCTAATATTTGTTGGTTTATTTAGGTAACCATTACTACTACCTGCCCTGGGTAAATACTAAACCGGTGGTTGTGCTCACGTCCTTCTGGGAGGACATAAGTCACCGCCTCGATTCTGTCAACATTATCCTCTACATTACGCAACACCTGGTAATATGACATTGTCTGTTAGATAAAAACCTGGAGGAATACTTTTCTATTATAAAGAGTTTAAGATGTGCTAGCGTTAACCTGACAGTTTGTGCTGGAGGGAACTGATTGATGTGTTTACTCTGCTTTCGCTGTTTTAGCAATCCAACCTGGATGCATTTAAGATCGCTATACTGGCTAAGGTCTCCGACAATCAGCTGGCAGAAGTGTGGATGAAGTTACTGAATCAGTTGATTGAAGACCTGGACAGGTACACAGTGGAGCTGTATTTCATGTCCTTCCTTTGTAAAGCACTCACAAATTTATTCAAATTTTCAGAACTGTAATTGAATAGCAGTATTCAAAATATTTGCTTGTACCTTTCCTGCCTTTATAAATATTACTAGGAGAGACTTGTTCTCTGTCATCTTATGTTAGCAATAACAGAGTTTAAACTAAAATATGTTCTGGTGTTTGTGGAGAATCGTTTAAATTGGAGATTGCTGAAAGGCTTCAAACATTTACAAATCTAACACATTATATGAAATGTGAACAAAAAAAAGTATGAATTAAATTTAAAATTAAGTTGTCTCAAAGGGAAATGAAATTATGCAGTAAGTCTTATTTTTTTAATTTTTTTTTTGTTATTGGTAAATGAAAAACATCAGTTGTTATTGGTAGCTGTAGGCAGGAAGGATCTTCTGTAGAGGTCTGTCTTGCACTCGGTTTGGAGAAGCGTCTAACTGAAGACTCTGTTATTGTTAACAATCTTCAGAGGAGGATGCTCATTGTTGTCCATAATGTTCTTCACCTTATGAAAAATTCCTCTTTGTGAAATCATCTCCAGAGGTTCTAGAGCACTTCCTAGAATAAAAACAAAATGGAGCCACTATCCTTTCCTCTTTCAAGCCTTCCTGTTCTCTTCTAAGCCTTGATTTCTCTAAGGTTAATGGGACTGTAGATGTGTTACTGTAATGTTAAACAAACATTTTTTGTTTTAGAAAAGTTATTGCACCTTTGTACTTCTTCTGACTTTGTGTATGGATGCAATTCTAAATGCTAAACTGCTGGACGAAAGCACCAAATCTGAGGGGGAAATTAACTCGAGTGAAATTATCAGTCAAGATGTTTTCACTTTACAAGGTTCCTTGATCTTTTGATTACAATGTAAAGAGGGAAACTTAAGTTTTTAACTTAGAAAATAGATGAAAAATGTTGTTTCATCAGGTTAAGACATAAGTAATTGGGGTCGTGGGCAAAATCGATTTGCCGATATATCATGATTTTCGGCTGTCCAATTTAATATTGATCTTTTAATTCCTCGTATCAACTTGAAAAAAAAAAACAATTTCACCTAAAACAATGAGGGAAAATGGGCTACCTCTGCACCGCCACTCTGGCAGATATTGCCATGAAGCCCTTTTGCTGTGCAGCGCTGCACCATATCTGTAGTTGAGGTAGTCACAGTGGAAGACACGGACTGACTCAAACCCCAAACAGCATGGATACCAGAATAACTAAATGATCAATATATTCTGATGAATGTATGAAGCACTAGGTTTTTTTTAGCATTTTGACAGGAAAATATAATGATATTGCAATGCCATGATAATATATTGGGATGCTCACACCTACATTAAATGGTTAGCATCGAGATCCAAATGCGAGATCAGTTTGGAAACAAAGCAACCTAATATTAACAAATTGTACTAATATACAGTAGGGCTTAAACGACTAATCCCATTAATCAATTATTGAAATAATCGTCAACTAATTTAGTAATCGATTAATTGTTGACTGGAGTGTAGAGACTGTAAAACCTGCCTTTAGCTGACAGAGGGAAACACTTAAAGCAGTAATTATATAAAAATTCTAATAAAAATATATACCGGTAAAGATTTTGCATTTAAGATGAAAAAATGTTTTCGTCTGTCAAGATGCTCTTTCCAGAACTCCTCAAGTCGAAAAGTTTTAGTTTCACCTGGTTAATTTTGTTAAAACGTTCTAAACATTTGGGTATCCGATTATTAATCGTTTAATCGAAAAAATAATCTACAGATTAATCAATTTGAGAAATAATAGTTAGTTGAGGCCCTAATTTGCAGAGTTTTGGAAGATCTTTTTTTTTTCTAACTATCCTTTCATGTTCTCCTGGAGATTCCCTACACCTGAGCTGGAGGGCCGCTCCAACCTAACAACTCTGGACATCCAAATCAAGAAACTGCGAGACAGCGCTCTAAGCTCCATCTTAAACGCTGCGAGACGAATGAGAGAGGAGGCCAGAGAAATCGCCGACACCCTGCCAGAAATAGAGGCCTGGCTGGACAAACTCAATCAGCTGGCAAAGGAGGTACAAACACAGGAAGCCGCTTCCTGGCTTATGATTGTTTCAAAAGTGTTTTTGAAACACATAGCCAAGTGTTTTGGCTATCTGGGAGCAAACAGCAGACTTTGTGTGAGTAAACAGTAATAACCTTACAAGGCAATATTCTCCCTGTTTTCAGCCCCAGAACAGCATGCCTGATGTGATCATCTGGATGCTGCGGGGGCAGAAGAGGGTCGCCTACAGTCGTATTCCTGCTCACCAGATCCTGTATTCGACTTACAGCACAGAGGCCTGCGGGCAGCACTGTGGCAAGACTCAGACCATTTTTCTAAAGGTACTTGGAGAAGAAATATCCTGATGCTGCTTTTCACTCTTATGGAACGGATTCTCCCACAAGATTTGCTGAACTTTTACTGATTTTATCACTTTAGTGCCATTTTTTTTTGTGTTTTTCCTCTCAGTACCCCATGGACAAGACCAAAGGCTCGAAGGTGCCAGTTCAAGTTAGGGTCAACATGTGGCTCGGCCTCTCTACACATGAGAAAAAGTTCAACGGGTTCTCAGAGGGAACCTTTAGTGTGTTTGCTGAACTGGTATGGATATTTTTTTTTTCTTTTGACAAAGCTTTTAACTTAAAGGTATAGTGGAGGATTTTCACAAATTTTTGAAAAGAACCGCCCTATCCACTTTAAAAAAAAATGCACCTGCACAACCCTGTACCTGCTTCCAAGAGGGAACGACTATTAAACACATGCCAGAGCATTCACAAGCCCATTTCTCCCCATGCACGCTCTGTTTAAAAGTTGCTGTTGGCATTGCTCATACAAGCTTATTTTCCAAAAGAATATTTGCAATTTCTCCACTATATCAGACTCACCACCGCTTAAGCCGGGCATGCCCTGTACAATATTTTTCAGTCGTTGCACTCAGCTGCAAGTCACACTGTACGATGAAACCCAGCGGAATCGTTGTACAGTGTCAATTCGCAGCCCAGGATACATGTGCGGTCCGACGCTCTGCTCCGATCTACCTGCTCACTCTGCACGTCTAAATAAAACACATTGGACTCAGCCCCAGAGAGACATGGCACTACTGGGACTCATCTATCAGGAAGCCAAACCAGTAGAAGAGGAATATGAAGCAAACTAGAGTGAATCGCACTGCCTTGGCAATTTTGCAATTGAGCCCTAAAAAGAAAAGGCGGCGATGTATTTGGACAAAGACATGACTGAGCAAAGGTGTCTACTATGGTCTGTCAATTTTACAGAAAGAATGAGAGGAAGAAGAAGAAGAGTCCTTGTTTGCACATGTGCACTGAGCGATTTGCCCACGGTGGTTGACTGAAAATCAAACATGTTCGATTTTCAAATCAAATCAAATTTATTTATATAGCCCTTTACAATAGCCAAATGGTACCCGAAGTGCTTTACAACAAAGCCATAAAACAATACATAGCAAATATAAAACATACAAGATACAATTAAAAGTGCTGTAGTGGTGCAGCACTGCAGGACATTAAAAGCCTTCCAGAGGTGCATAGAAAGGAGCACAGAGAAAGATGACATCTAAGAGGCAGTATTATAATCAGAATTAAAAGCTACTTTAAAAAAGTGGGTTTTAAGCTTTTTTTAAAAAAGGCTGAGGTCAGTAGTGGTGTGGATGTCGGGGGGTAGTTTGTTCCACAGTCTGGGAGCAGCGACGGCAAAAGAACGATCGCCCCACTGTTTGAGTCTTGACCTAGGGACCTCTACCAGAAGCTGACCCGAAGAGCGTAAAGCTCTGCCACAATTGCGGAAAGTTAAAATCTCAGACAAGTAAGAGGGGGCAAAGCCATGAATGGCGTTAAAAACAAACAGCAGAAGTTTAAAATCGATTCTAAAACGGACTCCAGACCTCACGATTCCTGATAGGGAGGTGGTGGAGAGAGGCTGATCGCCCCTCATTACCCCCTGTACACGGCGCGATCAGGCTGAAAGTCGGGCCTATCAGAAAATTCACGCACGACTGGAAAGTTATTATTTTTTGCCCTTGAAGAACCACTTATTTTGATGATCCACCCAGAAAAAGAACTTCCTCCACTATACCTTCAAGGTTTCGTCCAGCTGAGAAGTTAATACTTTAAGTAGATCACTTTGTCTGTTTATATACTTATTTTGCCTTTAAAACTTTTGAGGATTATTGTTCAGCCACATTTATTATGGTGCCAAAGAATTGATCACACAGGAAATGATTACAGAATAGCCGTAATCAGGAAAATTGTTTTGAAAAGTTCAAAGCAGAGGTGGTTCATTGAACCCCAACTTCCTGAAGAGTGACGAGAACTAAGCTACTACTATCAGATAAGACCAAATGGGATGTTGGATACAATGTTTGCGTCCTTGTTTTTTAGTTTGTTTAGCATCAATGGCCAACATTAAATCAGTTTATTTATATAGCATTTATTAAAAAATGATGTAATCTCAAGTCACTTTACAGAGACGATTCAATCAGATTATCCAGTCAGATTTCCTTTACCCTAACAAAGTTTTCATTGTTGGTTCTATCTCACAAAAATGGGTATGTCTGCTTCAATCTCCTTGAATCCCCAGTTGCCCTTGGCAGAAGGCCGCTCACACTAAGCCTGCAGGAACAGGCTCCGCTTATGTCAGGGTCAGTCTATGGAGGAAATGTGAGGTACACCCTGGACAGGTCAGCGGTCCATTTCAGGGCAACACAGAGACGCACAATAATGCACATATACTTGCACCTAATGACAACTTAGAGATGGCAATTAAGTTAATAGTGATGTTTTTGGACTGTGGGAGGAAGCTGGTGTATCCGAAGAAAACCCCCGCATGCAGGGGGAGATCATGCAAACTCCATGCAGAAAGACCCAGGGCCAGGAATTGAACCCAGAACCTTCTTGTGTCAAGGCAACAGTGCTACAAACTAAGCACCACCGTGCAGCCTTCTTCCTACTGAAAGATTTTCCTCTCCTCTATTGTTGCATACATATTAGGTGTGAGGGATTACTGTAGAGTTAATGATACAGTGAAAGCAAATGTCTACATTCACCACTTGCTCATTCAGCAGGAGTTCATTCTGCAAAGTTAATGAGCCGATGCCATCAGCTGGTTTTCCTTAGATGGAAAATTTTGACCCAATCTGACTGTATGATCTGGTTGAATTGTCTTTAAATAAACTGAATTAAATTGAATATTTCTATTAAATAAAGTATGTTATTATAATGTAAATAACATGTAAAAAACATTATTAAAAAAAGAAGTTCAAGTTTGTGCAAACTTTGTTCCTCCTGCAGTATGAAAACCAGGCTCAAGTCTTTGGAAACTGGGGGACCACAGGACTGGTGGGCCGCTATAAATTCTCAGACGTGACGGGGAAACTGAAGCTGAAGAAGGAGTACTTCCTTCCACCACGAGGATGGGAGTGGGAGTCGGACTGGTTTATCGATCCAGAAAAGGCGTAAGTAAACCTGCCAGCAAATGTTTGTCTGAACTAGCCTTAGTTTAATACTGCACATAGACATGCCCCTCCTCACATGCCGACCAAAACAAAATCCCATCGAGTCATCAGGGCCAAAGTTAGTGGGCTACAGCTCGTCTGATTTGTTTACATGTCTTTCATTACATAAATTGATTCCAGGTTGCACCAGTAAGCTACTCTTCTTTCAGCTTGAGAAATCGACTTGCTTTTAGACTCACTCCTTCATCACTTGAATGTTTTAGTGAGCATATTTGCAGCTGTAGATGATTCTTTTTCAGACAGTATGTAATCTGTAAGGGTGGTTGTTATTAGAAAAACAGGGCAGGGATTACCAACCTCAATCTAGATACTAATGGAGAAATACTACGCTATGGGGAAGTTATAGGGAGTCTTGATATTTAAACTTTAAAACCTCTGTTCAATTCTGAATGGAATTTAAAAATTTAAATGTGCAACCATCTACATCTCTAATGGAGGATGGACATTTCCTTCTACATGTTCAGTGTTTTTGAATCGGCCACCAGGGGATCATTTAGTGAAATTTAAAGTGTCCAAAATCCTCTTAGAATTTTCAAAAAGATGCATCATCCATTTTCCAAAAGATGCATCATCCATTTGGCTTTGTTTCAGCCTGCTAACTGAAGCCGATGCGGGACACACGGAGTTTATGGATGAGGTCTTCCAGAACGAAACCCGTTTTCCTGGTGGAGAGTGGAAGCCTGCCTCGGAGCCGTACACAGATGTGGTGAGAGCAGCGAGCTAGAATGCAAATGCTGCTACTGGCAATCATGCATAACATTGGATGACTTTATCCTTCCGACTAACAGAAATTCACACAAAAATGTGAATGTTTTAATGTTAATCTGAGCCACACGGCGCGTTCCTGGTACCCAGCTGCTAAACAAGTGATGAAAATGTTTAAATATGGAAATGCAGCTTACATTGTTTCTGTTTGGCAGAATGGAGAGAAAAGCCGTAACCCTACAGAGTTTGACTGTCCTCCTGGGTGGACGTGGGAGGACAGCTGGACTGTGGACATTAACAGAGCTGTGGATGATCAAGGTGAAGAAATCTTTAAATAGCTTGAAGCACTGAATGAAGTAATGGGTATAAATAGAGGCTGATATACTGATAAGGTTCCTTGCACCCATTACTATCTCTCCTACAATGTCATTTTATACCCATACACTTGGAATAACTGAATAATAATATTAGACCAGGCATGCCCAAAGTCAGTCCTCTAGAGCTGCTGTCCTGCTGGTTTTATAGGTTTCACTGCTTGAGCACAGCTCATTCTGATGAATGGCGTTCAGGATAAGCCTGCTAATCAGCAATCAATGCAAATGAGCTGTGCTGGAAAAGGGAAACCTCTAAAACCTGCAGGATAGCTTTTCGTAACGCCTGTTCTAGACCTTCCATTCATCAATTCTTATTTGACACATTTAAAGAATCTTCCTGACCCCGTTAAGCCGGACATACACTGTAAGTTTTTTTTTTTTTTTTGCCCTTTTTGGGCGGATTCCCCAGTCGAGCAAGAATTTTTCGATCTGGCAGATTTTCAGCCAGATCCTGCATTGTGTAATATAAGGTGAGTAAAGTATACTTAAAAGTAAGCAGGGGCGATCAGCCTCGCACGACCACCTCCTGATCAGGAATTATAAGGTCGGGAGAAAATCAAACATGTTTGAAATTCAGTCGGCTGTCGTTACGTGGTCGTGGGCAAATCGTTAGTTGGCATCTGCAAACAAGGATTCTTCTTTTTCTTCTTCCACTCAGATGAAAACACAGAAGCACGGTGGGGGTGTGAGTGAAATGGGGTTGTTTCTGTTAAAATTGACAGACCGTCGTAGCCACTTTAGCCATGTCTTTGTCCAAATGACGTTTTTTTTAGGGTTTTCAGCACACAAAATTGCACAAATTGCCAAGGCAGCAGTTTTCACTCGATGGCATCAGAGCGTTGGGTTGCACAGTGTTAGATCATACATTGTAAGCTGTGAACTCAAAGCTCACAATGTATGAAACAGAGTTTCTTCTTACAGTGTGAGCTGTAGCTGCATGCAACAGTTGAAAAAAAATTGTACAGTGTTTATTTGATTCAGGTGTGTTTGAGCAGATGGCTGCATGTCTGGCTGTATGCTCTGCATCACGTTTTAGCCCAGTCTGTGTTGCAGCATCCACCAAGAGAGCAGGTTCATGTTGGTCATGTCCTGTTGGCAGATCCTCCTTCCTGAGCAGTGGGTTTCTGCAGCTCATCCAGTTACTCTGTGCCTTTAGGCCTGTCCCAGTGCTCTACGCTGCCAATGAATTGGACAAAGAACAGTGGGATTTAATTTTATTTATCCATCCATCCATTTTCTTACACCCTTGTCCCGAGTGGGGTCGTGAGGGGTGCTGGTTCCTATCTCCAGCAGTCAATGGGCAAGAGGCGGGGTCCACCCTGGACAGGTCGGCAGTCCATCGCAGGGCAACACAGAGACACACAAACATTCATT